CTTCATTCAGCTTGGGGGTTCACCCCCAGTGGTGCTTAGGGGATCAAGAGATACTGGAGATCAAGTCCAGGGTTCAAGCATGCAAAGCAAGTGCTCGAGTCCTGTAAGCTATTTCCCCTGCCCCTCAATCTAATTTTTTTGGGGGGTGGGGGGGTTACATTTGCTGGTGATCAGGTACAACTAATTTCTAGCATAGAACTTGAAGGTAACTCCAGGTGGCACTAAAGGAACCATGTGGTGCCAGGGATAGCACTTGGTTCCCCCATATGCAAAGTACATTCTCCAGCCCTTTAAGCTATCTCCTAAGCATTTAAGTTATTTAACATGGAACATAACCATCCCAAGTTGACTGGGGTTTTTTTTTTCTCTTTTGGGGTCACACCCGGTGATGCTCAGGGGTTACTCCTGGCTCATGCACTCAGGAATTGCTCCTGGCGGTGCTCAGGGGACCATATGGGGTGCTGGGAATTGAACCTGTGTCTGTCATGTTGGCTGCATGCAAGGCAAACGCCCTACCTGCTGTGCTATCACTCCAGCCCCAACTGTTTTTTTTAAACAGATGAGAACATGTAGAATTTTCATGGTTTGTAAGTTGGTTGTTTTCCCTCCAGTTTTCTGCTCCAGGATTCAAGCTCAAAAATGGTGGTGTCAAGTAGAGAAAGGAGAAAGTCTTTGGAAAATATAACCCGCTCTAATACAAATTTTACCTAAACTTGCCACCAATCCTCAGGACCTCAGCCTGTCTACACAAACATCCAGAATGCTCAGGGCCAAGGTGATTGGTCCTTCACTTTAAAAAGCAACAGGCAAATATGAGACTAATATCCAAGGACAGTTGAAACAAGGGCCAGGAGGATTGGTCCACAGTTTGGAAGCCTGCCTCAAGGGCTGGGGGAGAAGGCAATTGGGATAGAGAAGGAACCATTGTGTCAATGGTAGTTGAAACGATCACTCTGGATAAGATGTACCCCTCAGTATCAGTGGGGGAGGGGGGAAGAGAGAGAGAGAAAGAGAGAGAGAGAGAGAGAGAGAGAGAGAGAGAGAGAGAAGGGAATGCTGCCTCCTGCCACAGACAGGCTGGAGGGTGACAGAAGGGAACCTGGAGACAAAGGTGGGGGTGGTAAATGTACACTGGTGGCGGTTTGGGTGGTGGAATACTATATGACTAAAATACTGTTTGACTAAAACCCAACCATGAACAGTTTTGTAACTATGTACTCCCAGTGATTCCATTTTAAGAAATAATAATAATAATAAAGAGAGAAAGAAAAGCATAAGGCAGGAGCTGACACCAAGCTAGACATCCAGTGACAAGAACAGTGATGAATGTTAATACTCATCTTGGTAGCCTGGCCCACAGTTGAAAGGGGGTTTGGAGCACATGTCCCTCTCCCTATAATTCAGGATCATTGCACAAGAGCAGTTTCCCCAACTTCCGCCCATGCTTCCTTATCAACCACAGCTCTGACAACATGCCCAATCCGAGCAAGCCCCCTGAGGGCCAGGGGCATCCCTGCACATGCTGCACCCTCCTGGGCAAGCCCTTCTAAGGCATTCCTCAACACAACCTAAGCATCTTGGTTATCTTATCTCCAGACTTCTGGCCCAGAACACGTTTGTCTTTTGCTTTGCAGCTGACTTTCCAATATCAGGCAGATGCCTGAAGTCACCAGTCACGGAAGGGCAAGGAGAGTGAACCCTTCTTTTGCAAACCGCCAGCCTTCACTTTCCCCCGTGAGTCTTCTCTGTTGTTACGTTTCATGATCTTGTAATTTGGAGTTGTGTAACTGGCAAAATGGCAGTGGCACGGGAGAGGAAGGGCAGGAGAAGAGGGGTTAACAGCCCCAAGTGCTATGGGCCTAGCACAGACCAGTGAAGTCCTGCAGCCTGCATTTCCTCGTTTGTAAACGAAGATTACACTACTCGCTTCATAGGCTTAAATGAGATACTGGTACATAGTAATTTATATTTATAAAATATTTATAATCACACGATACTATATATATATATAGGGCTGGAGCGATAGCACAGTGGGTAGGGTATTTGCCTTGAATGCGGCCAACACTGCTGACCGGAATTCAATTCCTCCGCCCCTCTTGGAGAGCCCGGCAAGCTACTGAGAGTATCTCACCTGCACGGCAAAGCCTGGCAAGCTACCTGTGACATATTCAATATGCCAAACACAATAACAAGTCTCACAATAGACACGTTACTGGGCCCGCTAGAGCAAATCGATGAACAATGGGAGGACAGTGCTACAGTGATACAATATATGGAATCATGTTATATAACATATATTATACAGAGGCCAGAGATGGTACAGATAGATAGGTGCTCTCCTTGCATGCGACCAACTCAAGTTCAATCCACATGTGGCCCCCCCCAATACCTCCAGGAGTGATTCCTGAGCACAAAGCCAGGAGAAAGCCCTGAGCACCAGCAGGTTTTGGCCCCAAAGTGTCCCCACCCCCCAATATGTCAAATTATATCCCATAAAGTTCTCTTTCATACAGTTAGCTTGTCATAATAAGAGAAGCATACAGAAGGATGACAATAACAAATACTACTACATAAAAAGGTAGATACTCAAAGGTCATAATAAACAGGTCATTCCCTTGGGCTTATTATTTTTCCAATGAACTGCAATATTTGAGTGGTCACTGCCCAAGCAGTATTCTGAATACTGTAACTTATTTACCTAAACTCCAGTCTCTCTCAATTTCACACAACCAAAAATCTAAATAAGATCAAGTAATCCTTTGAAGACTATCATGAGATCATTATTCTATACATTGACAGCACCTATCCTGAAGTCTGGGGCTTACAGAGTAGGGATGGGGAAAATGAAAGACTGCCTCCCTACTCTGGGGGTTGGGGATGTGAGGGTTACAGTATGTCCCTGGGGACCCCTGCATTGCCCTGTCAGCCTTTCTTTCCAATGACAGGGTTACTCTTGGGCCAGTGACTGTGAGTGGAAGCTTTCCAACACAGTTACTAGGAAAAAAAGATTCCTGTGATGGAAAACACCTTAAAATGGCCTCTAAGCTCAACATATTTCATTTCTTATTAAAGTCAAACTTATATTCTCATTAGTTGCAAATCCAGAGTTCCATGGTTTCAGAAAAGAGGACTGGACTAGGAACAGATTAAAGCAACATTTAGAAGAAACCGACATTTAGAAGACATTGAGATCTTCTTACTGTAAGTGCAGTCTCTGTGAAAAGGGAGAAGACCACATAAATCAAAGACTGCACTGACGATTTCATCTAGGAGATGGTACACTTGCCTTGCACGCATCCAACCTGGGTTCATTTCCAGGCAATCCCCAGAACCCCATATGGTCCTCTGAGCCCACCGGAAGTGGTCCCTGAGCTCAGAGCCAGAAGTAAACCCTGAGCACAGCTGGGTGTGGCTCAAAAAAAAAATTCACCTGGAAGTGGATTCAATGATTCTGATGATCTAAATACACAGAGGGTCCCACTAGGCAGGTAACGGGTTAGATTATCTAAGTGAGCAGGAAGTCCAAGGCTATACACACCTTCATAAATAATAGAGAATAGGAACAACGCTCCCACAGACTCCGCAGGGCTCCTTTCCCAAAACCTGTCACTCCTGGTTCCCAGCTGAGAGAGACCCCTGCTGCTCCATTTGTTTCAGTGATACAAACCCTGACTTTGCAGTTAGTATAAATGGGCAGAAAAAGAGTCTGTGAAGGAGCACTAGGGCTTGCCTCATTATACATGCTAAGGGCACCAAACTTTTCTTTAGTTTCTCTCTTCCCCTTAAAATGCACACTCCCAGTGGGAACCAGAGAGTCTGTAGGATGAATTCCAGGTCCATAGCAACTGCAATGCCCTGGGATTTTAAAACAGATCTTTTGGCCCGCCAGGCAAGGGACCCTTCTGGGTAGGGGACAGCAAAGACTGCCTCTCTCCCGCACACTAACCGACCAGGCAAATGGGTTCTTGGGTTTTGTTTTTGTTTGGCTTTTAGCTCAGAATCGCCATCGCTCCAATAGAGACAAAACAAACAAACAAACAAACAAACAAACAAAAAGGCTTGGGAAGGTTCTGCTCCGCGTTGGCTCTCCAAGAAATTTTCTTCACCCGACTCCCACCTCCTGCCGGCCAGGCATTGGTTAGGAGATGAAAAGGGGGCTTTGAGGAAGTTGGGTGGAAGTTTGGGGTCAAGAGTGGTTTCAGGCTCGGAACAGGCAAGGGATGGAGGACTCGATAGAGGACCCTGCCCTAGAGCTTGAGTCCAGTCGGGGGGGGGGGGAGGGGGGGCGCTGAAAGCACCTGCCCCACCCTGCGAGATCAGCAGTCCCGAGGCAGGTAAACGCCTGTTGGGGCGCGAAGGGCGCGACACTCATCTCCCTGGATGCTGTTCCGACCCCTTCCCCCACACCCAGCTCCAGCGCGGGCGCGCAGCTTTGGTGATGCCTGCGAGTGGGTCCGGGGCTTTGCTGAAACCGGGATGCCGCGGGGAGGCTCTGAGTCGCCGGGAGAGGGGCGGGGGTGACTCGCTCGCACCCGGCGCCGAGATGCCAGGCTCAGGCGCGCACCGGCCGGCCGGCTCGGCCACTGCGGTAGCAGCAGCAGCATCCCGACGTGACGCTGCAGCTGCAACAAAGCGCAGAGCCGCGCGGGCGTCGGGAAGGGGACCAGGCACCAGGCGGGGCAGCGCCGGAGGAAAAACAGCCCAGAAGGGCGCAGGCAGGCCCGGATGGGGGGCTCCCTCGGGGGCCACCCCCGGCGCCAAGGCAGACGCCCAAGGCAACCATCCACCTTGCAGCCGGGGCCGGGCCGAGTCCGCCGCGCCCTCCGGGGACCCGCTCGGAGAACCTCAGTGCGGGGCGGCTCCTTCCCGGGCAACTTCCCATCCCGGCCCGATCCCCCCGCGCCCGCAAAAAAAAAACCAAGCAAGGCCAGGACGATCCGGTGGCTGGGACCGCTCCCGCGTGGCCGCCGCCCCCCACCCGCCCACCCCCGGGGGCTCACCAGGAGGAGGGAGCCCGCGATGCGCGCGGCTCGGGCGACGGGGCTGCAGGACGCGAGCGCGGCGCGGCTCCTCGCGGGGGTCCCCATGGCTGCAGCCGGGCGGCCCCGCGGCCGCGGCGATCGGCGGCTGCTGCTGGCCCGCGCCGCCGGGCGCCCATCTAGCTCCAGCGGCCCATGGGCGCGGCGGCGGCCGGCCGGCCTGCCGGGCGGACGAGCGAGGCTGGCGGACGGTTCCGCGGGCGCTCAGCACCTGCCCAGCCGCGCGGCCGCCCGGGCCGGGAAGGGCAGCCGCGGCGGCGCCCCGCGCCTCCCGGTGCTCGCCTCCGACGGTGGCTGCGGGGAAGCGGGCCGGCGGGCTGCGCGCGGGGGAGCGAGGGGACAACTGCCCATCGCGAAGCCACGGCCGGCCAGCCTGCCTCCGCTGCCCCGAGCGGCCGGCCAGGGACTGAGTCGGCTGCACGCCCGGCGCGGGGACACACGTGGTGGCGCCCGGGCGGGGGGCGGAGGATCGGCCCTTTGTGATGTCACCCGGAGGAGGCCGGGCTCTTTGTGCGAGGGGGAAGGCGCCCGGAGGACGACGGTGCCCCTGGGCGGCCGCCCGGGACATTGCAGCGGCCGCTCCCGCCGCGGGGGAGCGGTCACCGCGCGCGCGCGCGCGCGAGCGCGCACCCCCCAATTTTCCTGCTTTTTTGGGGTGGGGTTTGGTTTTGGGTCCTGACACGGTTCTAAAGGCCTTCGTGGTACGCCAGACGCCTTTCTGCTGTTTCGGACACCTGGTTGGAAGCGGTCAGAGACCCAGTAGGGCTCAGGTCCACTGCATGCCAAAAAGGAGGTCTTGGGCAGCGCCTTCTCCTACGTGGCTTGACTGCGCTCTCGAATCACCTGTAGAACTTAGAACATCTGTATTGATATTTGAATCACACACCCAGAGAGCGATTTAATTCCAAAGGAATGTGGGTCCGTCCGTCCTTCCTTCCTTCCTTCCTTCCTTCCTTCCTTCCTTCCTTCCTTCCTTCCTTTCTCTCTCTCTCTCTCTCTCTCTCTCTCTCTCTCTCTCTCTCTCTCTCTCTCTCTCTCCCCCCAGATGATTGCTTATAGAGCAAAGTTCAAGAATTTTTGAACTATTGTTTAGTAAGGGAAATCCAAACTACAATTTCAAACCTAGTGTCCATCCAGTTTGGTCCCCAGATGTTGATGTCCTTTGAGACTTGGAATATGTCAGCAGCTGCATCTTCCTAATAAAAGGCAGATTTTTCAATTAGATTCTCACAGAGATTAAAAAGTACCTTTTCGGGAAAAAAAGTGTAAAGTGTTTTTAAGTTCCACAGCCTTGTATACGGTGGGTGGGTGAAAGAGAGGTAGCCTGCTACTGCAGAAGACAATCAGAGAATCCTCTTAGATGACTGGCATCTCCCACAGAAGCCTGGTGAGACAGGACCAACACCCTCTCCCTCAGTCTGTCTCTGTATGTCCTGTCTGTCTCTGTCTCTCTCTTTCTCAGTCTCTGTCTCTCTGTCTTGTCTCTCTCGGTCTCTCTCTCTCTCTCTCTCTCTCTCTCTCTCTCTCTCTCTCTCTCTCTCTCTCTCCCTCTCCTTCTCCCGCCCCAGGGACAGGTAGGTAGACTCCTGACCAGAGTAATCATTTTCATGTCTATGAAATTGACATGAAATTTCTATATATATAGAAATTTACATGTGATCTGCAATATTGCAATAGGCTCACACCAGTCAGTTTGATTTAAATCCTATGATACTATTCTTTTTCTTGCTTTCCTGAGTCTACAAGATAAGCACATCTTTCCAACTGTCTGCTTTAAAATCCCTGTACTCCTGAAAGTCACCAACCAAAGCAGAGACGCGCAATTGTCCATTTTCTTATGGATTAAATAGAATGCTTTGACCTTTGCTCTGTGCATGTTTTTAAGAAAAGCTTAAAAAATGATACCAGATTTCATTCCCGTCTATTCTATGTCAATAAAGGAAAGGATTTCCATAAGTATTACCAAGGAAAGAGCCCTAAGATTTAGATTTCTAATGAAATGCAAAGAAGAAAATATTATCAATAGGACCGGAGTTTGGAAGAGAGAATAGTAATATTTGGGATTGAATCTCTCTCTAGCTATTTCCAGGAGTTCTACGAGATTATGCTGCTTCCATCCATAACAGTCTCAATTTTTCCTTGAAAAATGTAATAATGGACTCACGAATGAATCTCGGAATTGAGCAGCTCGCTGCAGAGATGCCTCCGGATCTTGCACCATGCCAATTTCACCGGGATGCCTCAGACAGGAGCAGGTGGTGTCCCTCCACCTGCCCAGTATGAGTCCTGGCAGCTGTGAATGAATCTCGGAATTGAGCAGCTCGCTGCAGAGATGCCTCCGGATCTTGCACCATGCCAATTTCACCGGGATGCCTCAGACAGGAGCAGGTGGTGTCCCTCCACCTGCCCAGTATGAGTCCTGGCAGCTGTGAACTTCCAGAACCCAATGAAAAGCCCAGGCAGGCAGGTCCAGTGACTGCAAACTCCAGGCCTCTGGGGATAGGGGATGGACTGGTCCTTCCCATCTCCCCGCCCCTACACTGGATGTCACAACCATGAACTGCCTCTGGGTACCATGTAAGCACATTAATGGCCATGATCCAGAGATTCACAAATAAATCTCGGAACTGAGCAGCTCACTGCAGAGAAAATTTTAGAATTCCACGAGCACGGCTGCACGGCTGTGAAAGCCTCAACATCTCGTGCTATTCATAAGAAGCAATACAAAATAAATTATCAAGTATCTGCCCGTAGGGCAGGCTTGCGTGGTAGTGGGAAATTCAAAATAATGGTGGTAGGAAGGTCTAATGTTGGTGGGACTGGTGTTGAAATCACTGTCACTGTATCACTGTTGTCCCATTGTTCATCAATTTGTTCGAGCGGACGCCAGTAATGTTTCTGTTGTACCAGTCCTGAGATTTTAGCAGCCTCTCCTTACTCATCCTTCCCAATGCTGCCATATTGGAGGCTCTTTCAGGGTCAGGGGAATGAGACCCGTTATTGTTAGTGTTTTTGGCATATCGAATATGCCACCAGTAGCTTGACAGGCTCTGCTATGTGGGCAGGATACTCTCAATAGCTTGCCCGGGTCTCTGAGAGGTGTTGAAATATTGAATGTAATCCATTATTGCGAACAACTTTATAAAAATAATTTTTTGAAAAACAAAAGAAAAAGGTAATAATCTAACCAACAGCCAGGACTATGACTTAGCGGGACACAGTGCATGCTTTGCATGTGGGAGCCTCAAGTTTCATTCCACACATCACATGGTTCCTTGAGCATCACCAGGTGTGATACCCTCCTCAAAATTTTTTTCAGAAGACTAGTCAATTTTTTAATTTTTTAAAATAGGTTGCGTTGGTGTTTCAAAAATAGGTGAGCAGGTTTTTGTTAGTCCATTTTAGCTTGATCTATCTATCCAAACTTGCAGTTTTTCAAGATAGTTTTTGTTTAGGTATGCTCTAAAAGTTAGGAAAAAATTAAAGTTTAAAGTTAGGATTTTGTGAAGGTAAAGGTGTCCTTTGTCAACAATCTTTTCTTCCCAAAACATAAAAGTGTTTTATAATTGCACTCCACCGCTTTCAAGTTTCATCATTTTCTGCTTTGGCATTGTTCCCATGAAGTTTATATTGAAAATGCATTTTGAGAGATGAAGAACTCTCAGTCTTATTTCACGATCACAACCATCCTGTTGTTCGTCGAATGCCTTGAGCAGACCCCAGTAACGTCTCCTTCATCCTAGCCCTGAGATTTTTTTAAAGGTGCTATATTAAAGGCTCTTTCAGGGTTAGGAGAATGAGACCCATCATTGTTACTGGTATTTGGCATATTGGGTACACCAAGGGGAGTTTGCCAGACTCTGCTGTGGGGGCAGGTTACATTCAGTAGCCTGCCATTTTGTCTAAAGTAAGAATGAGATAATAAGATGTCACGTGGCCACAAATGCGGCCGCATGCTTCCGGGAGCTGGGTTTTATAGTCTCTGGGTCTTGGCCGTTGATGAGATTACACAGCGTCAGGGGCCCAGTTGGTGGGTGTGACCCCTGCCTACTGGAATATGGAGGATCTGGGTGGAGGATGCTCAGCCCCGATCCAAGCAGGCTTGGAAATCTCAGCTCTGGGACCCGCATTTACTTATTTACTATATTCAAATATCCCTTTATGTAAGTGAAATGTTATGAATAATTCTATCTGGATGGGGTGAAACTTTATTATTTTGAATTAAAAATATGTGAAAGCTTTTCGTGTTGTAAAAAATTCTTCAACCACTAAATACCTTGTTGCCACATTTTCAGTGTACAGCATCATCACTAAGAAATATTACATCATAGGAAATGGAAGAAATTCAACAGTGCTTAAGGACTCGTTTTGCCATATCCTTCCATAACATCTCTTCAGTCTCCATCTCTTTGCACACATCTTAGCCTTGGGTTTTTCTATTTCTGCCAATGCTGTACAATTCTCCTCATTTCCTAGCTTGAAAATTACTGTTAATTACTTCATAACTTACTTCCAGTTATTCTGCTCTTTCTATCGTTCCATTTTTTCCCATTTACTCAGTTAAAAGCCTTGGTTACATACCTGGTCATTGGGGAAATCACCAAAATCACCATCTTTCACTGGACTTTGTTTTTTATGTTTTCTATTTATCCTGTATACTTCTAGTAGCTCTAAGCAAATCTCATTTTTTTCATTTTCAATGTCTTGACAGGGGTTACCCAATAGTGCCTGTGGTGGGGGGGGAGTGGCAGCGGGATGGTGCTTGCTATGTTAATGATCAAACACAGGACATCACACATCCCATGAATGTGGTCTGCCATCTCCTAAAGCTTCCAGTTTTAAAAACATAAGTATCAGCTTGCTCTTCAAGCTCTTCTATGTTCTACCTTGAACACATAGATCACTTGCTTGTCTTTTAAGTTTCTTTACATGATTATTTTCACTCTGGAGAAGCCTGTGTTTTCTTTTGAACACACATTTCTCCCACTCTCTTCCTTCAAAAGAAGTTTCAATAAAATCTACCTTGTGGGACCAGGGAGATAGTGCAGACGGTAGGGTGCTTGCCTTGCATGCAGCCAACCCAGGTTCAATCATGGCATCCCATATGGTCCCATGAGCACCACCAGGAGTGATCTCTGTGTGCAAAGCCAGGAGTTACCCCTAAGCACTGCTAGGTGTGGCCCAAAAACAAAACACAAAACAACAACAAAAACTATCTTGTTTCTCTAAAAAGATTTTTTTTTTTTTGCGTCACACCCGGCGATGCTCAGGGGTTACTCCTTGCTCTGCGCTCAGAAATTACTCCTGTCGGTGCTCAGAGGACCATATCGGATTCTGGGAATCGAACCCGGGTTGGCCACATTCAAGGCAAACGCCCTACCCGTTGTGCTATCGCTCCAACCCCTAAAAAGATTTTTTAAATGGAC